TATCACCTTGTGCACATGTGTGTTAGCATATTTTCACAAACATTTTCAACGGTGTTAGCACTCCACTAGACTCTAAATGCATATGCAATGAGTTAGAGCATTTAGTGGCACTTTGATAATCGTATTTCGATATGAGTTTCACCCCTCTTAATAGTACGGCTATCGATCCTAAATATGATCACACTCACTAAGTGTCTCGATCACCAAAATAAAATAGCTCCTACCACTTATACCTTTGCCTTGAGCCTTTTGTTTTTCTCTTTCTTCTTTTTAAGTCCAAGCACTTGATCATCACCATGGCATCGCCATCATCATATCATGGTCTTCATTTACTTCACCACTTGGAATGTGCTAGCTATCTCATGATCACTTGATAAATTAGGTTAGCACTTAGGGTTTCATCAATTCACCAAAACCGAACTAGAGCTTTCACTGACAGGCAACTATTGGAAATATATAAATTTGGAAGATAAAATGTCGCAAACATGTCAATTCATTACCGGCGATAAGGAAATTAGAAAGATTTAGAGGAGCCAAAACAGCGTCACAATTCAGCCATGTTAAAGACAGATTTAGGTTTAGGTCCAAAAGCAAAATATGTTATACTCAACTCAAACTACAACTTCTATTAAAAGTCAAACTTCTTATTTAGAAAAGAAACTATAGTTTTACCCTGATCAAAACAACATCATGAAAAAAGGAGTTAACTATTGATCCAACACTTACAAGCATTTTTAGCCCAGTTCATGAACATAAACCCTAGATCATTTTTTATCTTAAGTATTTCTAGACTGTTTTAAGTGATCAAACAACAAGCCACTGTAAAAATCTAGAGTTAGCCATATTTTTTAATATCCAAATCATGGTAAAAATTAAAATTTATCAATTTCTATAGCTCAGCGCCGTAGTAATCGACGCCGAGCTCATGTCACGTCCGCGCCACGTAAGCAGCCACGTCAACGACACGAAGAAAATGACCCTGGACCTCGACGCCAAAGCAATTGGCGCCGAGATGTGTAAGCTTGGCGCCAATTGTAATGGCGCCGAAATCAGGGTCTATTTTTTGAAAGGATACTGCCAGGGGTGTAATTGTGAAAATCTTTCAAAAAAAGAGCTAAAAACAAAAAATTCGGCCAATAACCAAACTAAAATCGGCCCACACCTCAGATCATGCTTGCCACGGGAAAATAATTCTGCTGGTCGCCGCATGGCTCGCTGCCACCATGGTCGGCAGCTAGGTGCCCCTAGGACAGTGAGCGCTGCCCGGTGTGAATAGGCCGGGGACGATTCCACAGGGAAATGGAGAGGAATCTGGGCCGAAACGCGAAACCCCCGCGTGACGGGCTTTCAAAGAGACAGCGAATATGGCCTGTGGAAGAATTCCACATGGGCTTCCACCGCGGGGAAAAGGACGGATTCCCCCCGCGGGAACGCTGAGCAGCCGCATGCGGTCTCTTCCACATGCTTCTTTCCCCAATATATAGTAGATCGCGGGCGAATCCCAGGTGATTTTCAACTCCCGGCGTCGATTCCTTCTCGTCTCCGGTGGCCACTTTGGCGCCGGGGATGGGGAGAAGTTGTGGAATCGATGGCCGGTGTATATACCCTTCCTTTTTAGCTTATGTTTGTGTATGTTAGGGTTAGGGATGTCGTATTTTCCAAGCTTCTCCGGCGTCGGCTATGTCGATGGTGGGCGGGTTTTGGTGGTGGTCTGTGGGCCAGAGGACCACAGCGACAGTATCATCTGCATGAGGTTTGGCATCGATGATTTTTTCTTTGTTTCCTTCTTCTGTGTCGGTGCTCGAATCTTCTGTGTGCTTCTTTGGGTTGTCTATGGCCTTCTTGTCAATGGCAATGCCGAATCCGTAACCTACAACATGGCCGTTGTTTGAAGGAGACTTGGTGCTTTTACCGATGGTGTTTTCACCAGGATTTTGTCCCTCCAAGGAGGTTTCCCTTGGAGGTTGTGGATCAACTTGCTCCTACATGCGGGCTGGTGTTCTTGGATCCCCTTTGTGGGATTGTTGTTTGTTGGCCGGAGCTTGCCGGTGATGCGACTGACGTCTGTTTCCGGTGAAAGTGGGGTTTGCCTGGGGCGTTCAACGGTAATCGGCTAGAAGCTTCATTGTGGATCTTCTTCATTGCGGGAGATGGACGAGGACCAGGCTGCGACAACGATGGTCGGCGATGGCAACGAGCACTGGATGCTCCTGTAAAAGACTTATGTGTAATTTTATTTTCTTTCAGGGGTACCCGGTCGGGGGTTTGGTTGTAAGCGTTCTGTATCAATAAAATCCAACCCTTTCTAAAAAAAGTGGCCCTAACGGTTCCAAACAACCACGTACGTTCTTAAGGTGTGTTTAGTTACCCAAAATTCAAACTTTGGCACTATGCAAAAAGAAGATTCCCCGTCACATCAAACTTGCGGTACATGCATGGAGTACTAAATGTTGATGAAATTAAAAACTAATTGCACAGTTTGGTTGTACTTTGCGAGACGAACGTTTTGAGCCTAATTAGTCAACGATTGGACAATTATTACCAAATACAAACGAAATGCTACGATGTGCTACCGTGCGCTACAGTGATTCCAGCGACGCCACTTTGGCAACTAAACAAGGCTTAACTATCGCAAAGCCCGTGGCACTCAACCATGCGTCCATGCGGCCATGCCGAAGCCGAACAACTAGCCTTTACCCTGGCCTCTTCTATCTTCGTACACGAGTAGTTGGCGAGTAGCGGCCGCCGCGCGCTCCACACGGCACCAAAAAAATATCCAACGCATCAAGCGACTTCTCGGAACATGTACCTGGAATATTCGCCGTTGCAACGGATCGAGAACTGCACCATGAAGGCATGAACATGTCTAGAAGCTAATATGAGTCCTTTTGCAAAACAGATTTTCTAGCCATGTGTCTCTACTAGTACGTGCTAACTTGACAAAATGGCTGTGTTGGGCTGATCAAAAAAATCATTGTAGCTGCTGGAAGTTACTGTTCACAGCTGAATCTATGAGAGAAAAAATACTGTTTTAGATAAAAAAAGAAGCGGATCAAGTCAGGTTTGGGGTTAGCCGAACAAGGCCAATCAGGTAAAGAAAAACAAGATAAGAAACATGACGACGGCACTATTCAAAGCAGAGACGAGAGAGCACGTAAACAGAGTGACGTACTTGCGCGATTTAGGTACACGTTCGTTTGTCTTATGAGCCGTACTATTTTAACGAAGAAACAGTGTTTTTCTCTCACAACAAATAAATAAATAGTACTTTCAGTTATGGTTTTTCAGTAAAACGAACAAGGCCTTGGTACCATTCTAATTCCTAGATACTGAAATTGCAGGGTTCGCATCCTTTTGCCGATTGTTAGCTGCCCAAGAATATGCTGCCCGATCCCGATAGATGGAGCCTAGCAGCAGCTGGCATGGGCTCTACGATCATGGTCCGGTCGCACGGTTCCATGGTGATCTGTCTTCTTTCGCCTGACGCCAGGCTCAGCCATTGGCCCTTCGACTGTAGTCCCTCTGCACTACGGGTGATCATCAGGCCCGGCCCTGGGGCGGGGCGAGAGGGGCAGCCATCCCAGGCCCAAAGACCCGATAGGCCCCTCCCTAGGTAGTACAGTACTATTCAGCGTATGATGTGTATCTCAGCCCATACGTACGCAGGACGGTAGGGTGCAGCCGTGCAGGCACATCGACTCGTCTCCTCATCGGTCCTCGTGACTATACGCTTCGTCTTCTACTGCGAGTCAGCATCGGCGGCGGCGACGGCAACTGCTGCCTGTTGCCTTATCATGTAGGTCTAGGCTTGGATCTATGCACCCTTAGGCCTACTCTGCAACTAGGTGCATCACCGCTCCACCACACACCGATCTACATCTGTTCGTGTAATTCTTGCCTGATGTGACCGTCAAAGAATAAAAATCTTTTCCTTGCTTTGCTGCAATGGAAAATTGCCGACGACAAGCGTCCACTCGTGATCTCTTTACCGTATTAGGCAAGGGCGACAGCAACCAGGTACGAATCCCTATCCTGTGACTACGATCCCTAATAGTGAATTTTCTCTTTATATAATTGTTTAATCTTTAACTAATTGTTATTCTAAATTTGAATAGTACCATGTTATCGATCAAGAAAGTAAAAGAAAGAAGAAAAAACGAATAGATGATTTGATACAATCACAAAGAGGGGCTCTTCATAAGTTTCTTAAGCGAAAAAATTGAGGTAATTTAATATGTGTATAAAATATTTTATATGAATATCTTTGCATTTAGATAACTACATTTCATATATGTGTGTATATATACTACCAATGAATAGTACTAGTAGTAGTATTATGTGTTTATATAAATATATAAAAAGGCCCAAAGTTTTCGTTTCGTTCTAGGTCTAAAAAATCTCAAGACCGGCCCTGGTGATCATGTTCAGATTTACGTCAAATTGATGAGTGTTCAGTCCCAGCGAAGGTTTCGTGTCCCAGTTTTTAACTCTAAGATTTTAAAAAGTAGCGTAGAAGAGTTTCATCTTCATAAAACTCTTTGTACTTCTATGAAATTTTATCATCTCTCTCCATTAATATAGTACCATATCAACGTAATTAATGTCTAGGAAACTCTTATAAAATCTTTATTGCGATTGGCCTAACCGTAAGAGAGGGCTGGCGCGAGCGAAAACAGTAGGAAATCATTGTCGTCACGTCCACCGATCCAGCCAACCCGGCCGAGTGCCACCCACTCCACGGCGCCGATGATGCAAGTGCGCCGTGAGGGCGCAGATGCCAGGAAACTAATGAGAAACCCGCCAACAACTTAACTACTAATGAGAGCCTCCAAAGGCCGAACCTCTTGGTTTCCCCGGCGTCCCATAACCCATTACCACACTCCCCGTACGTTGTGTGCCACAGCTATATATGAGATCCGCCGGCGCCTGGCCCTCGTCTCATCCTCCTGGTCTTTCCTCGAGGCGCCCCGGGCCATATGGCGAACGGCACTCCTGCCAAGATGGGCTTGGTCCTCGCGTTTGTGGCCGTGGCCGCGCTCTGTTGCGCGCCGGGCGCCGCGGAGTTGCCCCGGCTGGAGCACCCGCCCAACAACAACGACGGGTCGCTGAAGCTGCTCGTCATCGGGGACTGGGGCTCACAACCAGTCCCGGGTCGCCGAGCAGGTAACAGCGCCATCTTCTTATACATTCCTAGCTCCGATTACTGCAAGTAACTATTAGTGTGTTCAAACACCTTGGCCTTCAAGGTCGTTACTGTTTCGTCAAAGTAGAACATTTGTTTGCCGTGAAAGGAGGATCTGTTCCCTACTCCTATAGTCCTCCGACGCCGATTCATCCTTGTTTAGGCAGCTGAATTTGAGACTGGATGAATTTGTGAGAGAAAATCATTCGTAAACAGTAAAATTCAGCCGGGAACAGTACTTTCTCCGTGCCAGCCGAACGCGGCCGAAATGGTCTGCTACCGAGACTGTTTTCCGTCTTCTGCGTGCGTCGGAATGCATGATGCTGGATCAGGCTAGCTATTCTAGCGACAAAGCAGATATTGATTAGTTTGTACTTTTGTACATAATTAAACCAAATTTGACTATTCATATTTATTAATATATAGTAATTGACAGCTCGACACTCATTTAAGTGATTCCCAAAAACTGACAAGCACATGCTGCCTCCTTATTCATTATTAGTCAAGTATTCCGTCCGTTTTTTTACGTGTTATATACTGCCCTTTTTTTTCTACATGTTGTATTAGGTTTGTTCTAAGTTAAATATTCCTATTGACCATGGATTTTAAAAAAATGTATAAGTGAACAACATAAGATTTATGTTATTAGATTCACTATGAGAAATAATTTCATAATATATAGCTCACATGTTGTGAAACTACAAGGACATTTTTAAAACAAATTATCAAAGTTAGAAATGTTTGACTTTAAGGCAAACCTGATATGAACAGTAAAAACGGAGAGAGTAGTAGTCACATCCATTTTCTTGTCAACCCCGTTGGCAAATTGTACCACCAACAAACTATAGGCTAACCACACTTGCTCTTTGTCAAAAAATGACATCACACTCTAGTTTTGTCCTAAATAAAGTTATTTTAAGATTGATTGAGTTTATAAAGAAGACTATCAATATTTATGACGGTTAAGATAGTTTGACCTATGTCAAAAAACCAGAATGATATTTTTTTCGGAAGCATGGAGTAATGCCCTATTAATATTACTTTGTTGAAGTAGCGAGTTAGACACTAAACCAACTCCAATACCGGGGAAATACAAATTTTGGACATTGGAACGATTCTACTAACAAATAACCTTCACCACTAACTTTTAGGGGTCGAAAATAGAAATTGATGCCTGAATTATTTGACATTCATACATGCTAAAACTTATAATATGGATAACCGTATCTGTATTCATTTGTAATGTGGATACTAAGGCCTCGTTCGGCTGGTATGGAGGAAGTACTGTTCACGGCTGAATTTCACTGTTCATGGCTGATTTCATCTCACAAATTCCTCCAGATTTCTCCAAATTTCTCCGAGCGAACGGGGTCTAAATGGACATATTCAAATTTGTTTTCCAGTATTTTTCTCTATCCGATTACAAGATACGTATTCGACAACAATATGGAATATCCGATATTTGTTCGTATCCACAAAGAATAAGATAGAACGAATCTATTTAAAATTTTTCTCTCCAAGAATAGTGACTAATTATTTAATTTTAATATCACTAATTATGATTGAAACTATTTAATAGTATATTTATAAATAACTTTTAATATTAACTTAATATTATTAATGATACATAAATATTAGACTAATTTTAGTATTTTCTAATTAAGTTTAAACCTAACATAATTGTTGTTGTAATTTATTTTATTTATTTATTTTACTTATGTCAATTATTTCATATCATTTATAATTTCATGAAAACATTATATAAATAATGATTGATTAATTGGTATATTTAATTATTAAATATTTATTAATAACTATAATATTTAATGGGTTATCTTTGTCTATGTTATATATGTGCATACTTTAATCTCTACTTGTGTAATATTTTGTAATTACGAAAACATTGATAAAACAAAATAGCTATTTGTTGCCTACTGTTCTTATTTGAATTTCTTCACTTGACCTATATTTCATTAAATATTATCCATTATAATTTAGTTCACTTCGATATTGGATATTATTATAAGTGTATTTTGATTTTATTTCACTCCGGTTAGTGATGAACTTAGTAGTAAAATTTTATTCATATATAATGAATTTAACAATATGCACTTTGAATACAATTGAATAAATATCCGAATAGAACATCATGTCGGATTCATAAACCCAGGGTCCCCAATGGGTCCGCTTCCCAGAAACTCTGCCCAGCGGACGGCGTAGCGACAACGCGCGCCTCCCGGGGCGGCCCAGGTACCTAATAACAGGCCGGGAGAACGATTCGGTCCTCGACCGGAAGGCCTGGCCAAGGTGGGACATAGTCCAACTCCGACCTTCTTTTTCGACCGGGGATACACCGGACCTCTGCTCGCAGCTCTTCCCCGATCGACACGGTCGGGGCTGACTGAGAACAACCAACCGAGGACGCCCACTCGGTGAGGGCCCGAGGATCAGGCGAAGCAGCTAAGGTAAGGCGCTCAAGTTAAACCATAATACCGAGGACCGTACCCTGCCATACCCTGCGCACCTACAGGACGGTGCCACCGGGCTATGCCAGATATGCACTATGCAACCTTCCAGGCGTGTCAGAACCCAAACAGTATTATAGACGCCGACATTTGTCATAGCAGGCGAACACGGTAGAGCTGCCACATGCATCTGGACATAAACAGTGTCGTGGGCGTCGACGACCGTCTTGTACCCGACAGCGTGGGTAACAAGACTAGGTAGCACACGTATATATTCTCTCTTTCTCTGACTTGTAAGAGGCCATCCTCTTCGACTATAAAAAGGGATGAGCTCTCTCCTAAACACGTATATATTCTGATTCTGGCTCTCTAGCTCAAAAAAGAGAAGTTAGACGATTCGAGCACTCAAGGACCCGAGAACTCGAATAGCTTAATAGCTCTAGAACTCTAAAGCTACACAGAGCATACACTCTAATACTTAGCGCACGTTAGAGCCCCCGTCACTCTCGGTCCCTCGGTTCAGAGTCCGACCAGGCCTTTAACACCCATTCTTATTCATACTCGTTTATAACCCTACAGCAAACTTCGAGCACCTGGGCTCAGGAATAAAATCACAAACCGACTGAAACTGGACGTAGGACATGTTGCCTGAACCAGTATAAATCATGTGTCATTGAATGCTAGGCCACATCCGATCACAACGCATGGCAAAACTACAAATATTTACTTGTTGGTCACTTTTCGCACCGACACATCCGATTTGTATTCATATTTGAAATTCGAATTTGAATTAAAATCTAATAAAAAGGTGATATGCGGATCAGATTCCATCCCTACTAACTTTTTTGATGGTGCGTACATTTATCAAATCGCTAAACTACAAATACCATGATAATGTTATTTGCGATGACTATTTTCATACCATTTTACAATGTCGCATCCAAATATTTCTACATGCTTTGATAGTAATATTTTTATGGTGGCACCTTTACCATGTTGATTCATAATACCAACAGCTTCTGACTGGAGAAATTTGCAATTAACCTTTTTTTGTATGTAGATGGGAAGGGTCGGGGAGAAGCTCGGCATCGACTTTGTTATATCCACCGGGGACGACTTCTACAAGAACGGCCTCAAGGGCGTGCATGACCAGGCATTTGAAGAATCGTTCACGGATATCTACACAGCTAAAAGCTTACAGAAGCCATGGTACTTAGGTAATTAATCCTCCATGTTTTCCCACCATTTGCCTTGGTTATTACCATTTGGACTGAGCGGTGACGAAATTTATGTGAACTACTAAGACTGCATTATCCTTTTCAGTTCTAGGAAATCATGATTACAGGGGCAATTCACTCGCACAGCTTAGCCCAGTCTTGAGAAAGATCGACGACCGATTCATTTGCATGAGATCATTCATCGTTAACGCAGGTACAGAAAAACGTAATTCATTTGAACCTGGAGAGGATTACTAATCTCCTAATAAAACTGCAACAAGGCAAGCAAGACTGAAATGTGTGGCTTCATTCCAAATCTTGTCAGAACTTGTGGATTTTTTCTTTGTCGACACCACTCCATTCCAACTGGAGTATTGGACTCACCCTGGCAAGCATCATTATGACTGGAGAGGGGTGGCACCTCGAGGCAAATACATAGCCAATTTGCTGAAGGTGCGCACTCGGAACACATTCAGATCAGTGCGCGAAAAAGCTACATATGAAAGCAAACTCGTTTTTCTGAAACTTTTTTTTATATTCTGCAATGCAGGATCTGGATGTGGCTATGAAGAAATCAACTGCAAGGTGGAAGATTGTCGTTGGGCATCACACTATGAGGAGTGTCAGTGAGCATGGGGACACCGAGGAGCTTCTGAACCTACTACTTCCAGTCCTCAAGGTTACATTTCAGAAGCTACTTCAGTCAATTGGTCTCAACTTTTAGAAAGGTCCATAATAACCCCCAGTTTTTTTGTGAAATTTTTCTCACCATTCAGGACAATGGCGTCGACTTCTACATCAATGGGCATGATCACTGCCTGGAACACATTAGCAGCAGAGACAGGTACAGGCACCATACATACCATACGATACAGAGACGAATTCAAGTAACTTTCAGAATATGAGCAGTTCAGTTTCCAAGTTCCTAAACCTTTTGTGCAATTGCTTCTGCTGTTTCAGTCCGCTCCAGTATTTCACGAGCGGTGGCGGTTCGAAGGCATGGAGAGGAATCTTCCGTCCAAACAAGGACAAGCTCCGGTTCTTCTACGATGGGCAAGGGTTCATGTCCCTCCAGCTGAACCAAGACCGGGCTCACTTCATCTTTTACGACGTTTTCGGGAACATACTGTACCAGTGGAGCTCAAGCAAAACCGGACATCCCCGGACCTCCACCTATCTGGATGAGGAATAAATTGGATTGGTCTTGCGCTATTGATCTGTACAAAACATCGCCCTCATGTATGTCAGAGGCTGAGGCTATGGATCCGTGAAATTGGAGAGATTGGGACGGACCATGCATGAAAAGGGGGGCACGGAGCAGGAGGGAAGAAAGGCGTCCGGTTTCAGTCATTTCCAGATGTAATAGGTCGGTCGTAACGGATCACTTCCCGTCTGTATTGTCCAACATCCTGTTGGAACCTTGTGCCGGCCTTGCAAGCAAGACTTTCTTGCTCCTAATGAGCCCACCAAGCGATTTGCTTTCGCTCCTGAAACTCGCACTGCGTCAGCGCCTTCGTCCAGAAATGTAGAAGTTTTCTGCTCGAAAACGCAAGAGAAATTTCAGGCAGAAGAACACAATAATAATGGCACGGTGGCACCATCCGAATGAACAAACTGCAGGTTATGCAGCTGACGGCACATGGGCACGGTATTGGTGGTCCTACAGGCAAAGCTCCTTTCTGTCTCTCGCTTTCCTTTTCTAGTCTAAGATAAGAGAAGACATACCATACAATCCATTCTATATTGGCAATGTGCGCGAGCACCAACTTG